AAAAAAACATTATCAAACGAATATTAGCTAAAAGCTATCTACTTAAGTTTATGGTATGTGAGGAAGGGGAATTTTTATAAGAGATTCCCCAGAGACTTCAAAATTAACCAACCTACTATTGTGAAGTCTTTACCAATGAAATCACATTCTGTCAAGACATATAAACAAAAAAGTCAATAACAGCAACATTAAAAGGTACCTATAGAAGAGCAACTGAACCAATTCTTTAACTAAGGTAAATGGCTCTAAAAACCATTAATTAATTAAATCATTCAAAAATTTAAACCTGGTGTGGTTTCTAAGTTTGTTGAATCAGTCAATACATATATTTTTTTGGCTATATACTTCTGTACTTCTGATCCTTCCTTTAAGGACATTAAATAGCTATGTGAAAAAGAAAAATTTACTGTAAAAATAAATGAAAAACAAAATACCAAGCTCTGTCAGTATTACAGTTATTATTCTTAAAGGACATCAGAAACTGGTATCTATTAAAAATAATCAAAAAATACTAATAATCAGATCTCTAAAAAGTTCTAGATAGTCACTATTTAAAAGGATATTTTGAGTAATACCTTTACTTTTATGGTGCAAATCTAAAATCATTTACAATTAATGTAACTGGAAAAATAAATCAGGACAAGTTATTAAATACCAGACTATAAGCTTGAGAGCAGGCCTATGACAAAAAGAGCCTCTTTATCTTCCAAACCATCCAGAGGACAGTGATTTTTTATACAGAGGAAGCATTTAAATACTGGCTAAATGTATACAAGCAGGAATGGATTTAGTTCTGTGAAATGTCTGGATTAGAGCTTAACGCCCACTTAAATATTCTGTTCTTTATCACCATTTATCATTCCAATTAAATGAAGTTATAAATTTTAATTCACTCATGCTTTAAATGAGTCTTTAAGATCATGTGGAACACTGTGATAAATAACTTCGTATAATGAACATAAAATAATGAAAAGCCAGGCACTGACAAAGGCTAGATCTTCCCCTCTCAATGTTTTCAGGTAAAACCCTCTCATACGTCTATGTCTGTGTCGATATTTTACTTTCACCTAAATAACCAGAGGTGGGTCAATTATAACCAAAGCCTAAAAATCCATGGAAGGAAGAATCACATTTTATATGGATTTTATAAAACCAAAAATAAAAGTTTATCATAGATGAATCACAAGCCACATAATAAAACTTCCCTGAGTAAAAAGACTTTACACACATAGCTTTAAGTGCTTTGAAATCTTACCTCACCGTGATAAATCAAAATCTGGAAGAACGTGTCCATGAGCAGAATACGATCAGCAAGAATGCTACTGCTGTCGAGGAGCACCGGCTAACACGCAGGAACCAAGAGGAAGAAGGAAAATGGAAGAGAATTACTTGAAAACACAAAACAGACCTTCCCAGGACCATTTTCTAAATTGTAAATTTATATTTTATTGCTTTAAATCTCTTGCTATTATGAATTCTTACCATGAATTTTAATTTTTTTACTGGGCACCCCTAGCACAGCGGTTAGGGCACTGGCCACATACACTGAGGTTGCCAGGTTCGAACCCAGCCGGGGCCTGCTAAACAACAACAACTACAACCAAAAAATAGCTGGGCGTTGGCTCAGCGCCCATCATAGCACAGTGGTTATAGTGCCGGCCACATAACTGAGGCTGGCAGATTCAAACCCAGCCCAGGCCAGCTAAATAACAATGACAACTGCAACAAAAATATAGTCATGTATTGTGGTAGGCGCAAATAGCTACTTGGGAGGCTGAGGCAAGAGAATCACTTAAGCCCAAGAGTTTGAGGTTGCTGTGAGATGTGATACCACAGCATATTACCAAGCAACATAGTAAGACTCTGTCTCAAAAAAGAAAAGAATTTTGATTTCCCAAGGACTCTCTTTAAACTGAGGTAACAAACAATTACAAAACAGAGTAAAGTCATGAGGAAATCCAGGTCACTCCTAAGCATGAAGATGGCCCCACTGAGAGAAATGTTCTGCCTGGGACAGAGCAGACTCGGAGCAATAGGAAAACAGTTCTGCACATGAAGTAAAGCAAGGAGCCTGGCCAATAACATCAACAAATTCGGGTGTCACATGCACAAAGACAGTAATTAAAGCTATGGGATTAGACTTCATCTCCCAGAGAAGGGAAGACAGGGAAGGCCAGGTGGTGAGCCCTGAGCACGCCAACACTTAGAAGTCTGAAAGGGAAAAGCAGCAGAAGAGGACTGAGAAGCACCAGTGAGAGAGCAGAAAACCAGGCAGGTGCAGAAGGGTCCCAGAAGCCTAGAGTAAAAGGTTTTCAGAAGGTTTTACCTAGTCCTCGCTAGGTAAATGCTATTTAGAGCTCTGGCAAGAAGTAGGATATTGGTGGTCCTGATAAAGGGGGTTCAGTATAATGTTAGGGACAAAAGCCTGAGTAATACAGGTGGAGAAAAGGATGTGAGGTGACAAAGTATGAACAACAAATAACCATTCTGAGTTTAACGACGGCCAGGAGCAGAGAAATAAGGTGGTACTTAGAGAAGACACGTTTTCTTGGTGGGTTTTTTGTCAGTCTCTTCTTGTAAAATGTGTGTCGTTTCTGTGTGAAGGAGAACGATCCACATAAGCAGAAAGTGACGATGCGGAAGAGAAAGATGATCCCAAAATCAAAGCCTTAAGGAAATGAAACTAATGGGATTCATGGATTAAATGGAAAGACTGAAATTTAATAGGAGCAGCCACTAGGGATAGTAGGATTCCAATTTTCTTCTAAATACTATTCTACACTTTCCAGTGGTCTACAATTTACATGTATTATTCCAAAATAAGAATTAAAAAGTTATTTCTAAAACTTACTTTCTTCATTAAAAGAACCACAAGGCCAAAATATGCAGCTAGACCAACATATTAAAAATGTATTTTTCCAGCCAGGCATATACCTGTAGTCCTTAACTACTTGAGAGGCTGAGGCAGGAGGATCACTTGAGCTCAGGAAGTTCAAGACCAGCCTGAGCAATATAGCAAGACACTGTCTCAAAAAATATGTCTTTCTCTAGAAATATTTGACCAATTACTTAAAAATTACAGTCACAAAAAAAAATTTTACCCACTATTTTACAAAACAGTGAAAACAACAACATTAAGAAACCATTAGTCAATACATATTATAAATACTTTCTACCCAAGTAGCTGGGACTATAGGCATGCAGCCCCATGCCTAGCTAATTTTTTTACTTTTTGTAGAGACTGGGGTCTCTCTATGCAGCTCAGACCGGTCTTGAATTCCTGTCCTCAGTGATCCTCCTGCCTTGGCCCCACCACGTGCTAGGATCACAGGTGTGAGCCATATGCCAGCCCTCAGCTGCTTCCACTTTTTTAAGGCTACGTATTGAAGTGACAGACCAATTTACTTTTCTTTCTGCTCCTCTTACCTCCGGGGGTCCACTAAAAGAATATGCATACAGAATCGGTTGAATCATGATTAGAGACTGAGTCAGATCTTGACGCATGAAGTGGTGACGATAATACGAACTCTCATCAGGACTATTGTTAAAAACTTGCAAGAAAGGAGATCTTCTTAAATGAAACATAAACTACAAGACAAAACATGTGAGATAGGTTTTACTGGTTTTAATGCTGTGACAGGAATTTAATATTAACACAAGTATAGGATTACAACAATTAACAGAATAAAACAAGTTATAGTCAGAACATTCTAAATTATATTTCTCAGAAAACAATCTTATTCATAATATCAGCTTCTAAAAAATGTAATTCTAAGGCAGCGCCTGTGGCTCAGTGGGTAGGGCGTCAGCCCCATATACCAAGAGTGGCCTGTTTGAACCCAGCCCCAGCCAAAGTGTAACAAAAAATAGCCAGGCATTGTGGCGGGTGCCTGTGGTCCCACCTACTCGGGAGACTGAGGCAATGGAATCGCCTAAGCCCAGGAGATGGAGGTTGCTGTGACGCTACAGCACTCCACCAAGGGAGACAAAATGAGACTTTGTCTCTAAAAAAAAAAAGTAATTCTACAATAATAAAAACAGAGAGAGAGTGGTGACTCAAAAGGAAAAAAAATAGGGACAAAAACCCCTTGCTCAAATCTAAGTTATATAGAGGCTAATGCCAGGTAGTACTTTATTGCTATTCTTGGTTTTTTACTCCTCATACTTCTGACCACATCACTGAGCTTTTTTATTATTACTTTTTTTTATTATTGCCACCACCAAAAGGTCCTAAGAGAAAAAAAAAAAAAAAACTTTTTGAATGGCTTTCAAAAAATTGCACTGAGAGGCCGGGCCCGGTGGCTCACACCTATAATCCCAACTCTCTGGGAGGCCCACGCAGGTGGATTGCCTGAGCTCACAGGTTCAAGACTAGCCTGATCCAGAGCGAGACCTCACCTCTAAAAATAGCCAGGCATTGTGGCAGGCACCTATAGTCCCAGCTACTTGGGAGGCTGAGGCAAGAGTATCACTTGAGCCCAAGAATTAGAGGTAGCTGTGAGCTATGACACCACAACACTCTACCAAAAGTGACAAAGTAAGACTCAGTCTGCAAAAAAAAAAAAAAATCTACAATCCACATAATATGTTAATATTTAAAGTTTTCACTCTCACTCTCACTCAGCACACCAGAGCTGGCAGATTTGAACCCAGCCTAGGCCTGCCAAACGACAATGACAACTGCAACCATAAAATAGCTGGGTAATGTGGCGGGTACCTGTAGTCCCAGCTATTTGGGAGACTGAGGCAAGAGGAAAAAAAAAGAAAAATATGGAGAGAGAAATAAAAAATACATTATCTGGGTGGTGCCTGTGGCTCAGTGAGTAGAGCGCCAGCCCCATATACCAAGGGTGGAGGGTTTAAACCCAGCTCTGGCCAAATTGCAACAAAAAATAGCCAGGCATTGTGGCAGGCAAACTGCAACAAAAAATAGCCAGGCATTGTGGCAGG